CCATTTTGGAAAAAAAAAGTCCTTTGTTCTGTCCGTATGTACAGATATCATGCAAAAACATCATTCAAATGGATTCAAGAGTGGTCAAAACTAAGTTTTGTTGAAATGCGATACTCGACATTTTTCACAATTACAATACTTCTGTTACTTCATACAAGGAAATAAAAAAATGCATTAATAAAATTGTTATTTATTGATTAATATTGTTGCCAATATACAGGTTCATGCACCCAGAACCAATGATTTCTTGATAGAATCTATTATAAGAAAAGAAACACTTTGCAGTGCTGGAACCTTTCACAAAAATACTTGTACAGCTCTTCATAGCAATATACAGCACAATTAGTAGTTACACTTCAAGCTACTAAGAACAATAAACTCGATGCAATACAAAGCAGATCTAAACAGTATAGCTACCATGGATATCTCAATGCTCCAAATTCAGCTCTAAACTAACAAATAAGAGCGGATGCTCTCTCTCCGATCTTATATAGTTTTCACCTGGCTGCCGAGAAATATAAATTCCATTTCTCAAAATTATTGAAAGTCAGATTTAAGAGCTGGATACAGTAATAGTTGAATATAATGATCAATAACATTTATTAAATTACAATACTCATTAATTATACAAGAATCAGACCAAAATGTTGCCATGTTTGCTAACTTTTGGCAAGTTCTTGCCAATAACAATTAGTCGCCAAACCCATCCCCAGCTAGGCAATATCTCCGCAATTTAGTGATATAGCCATTTACTCAATGTTCAATAGGATTGCCTTTGTATTCTCACTTTTCTGGCAAGCTTTGCTTCTTTAGAATTTCATGATATATTGCACAAAAAAATACAACAATTTCACTAAAATTATTTATATATGTACAAAATTCATAATAATATAAGGTTTTGTTGTACAAATAAGTCTAATTTTAAATACATGGGTATGTTAAATTTTGAATTTAAAAGACATCTGACAGAAATATCCCTAAATTAAACTGGTCGGCAGATAAAATTTATTGGCTTTTTTTTCTTCTTAATTAAAGGATTTCTTGATTTGACTAAAGAATGTTTGTCTTTAGTCAAGTCAACAACTTACTGCAGAAAACAAGAAAGAGTTTGAATATTTCTGAACAAGGTGATTTAAGTTAGGCAGTCTTATGCCAATTATGAAAAACTTTTGTATCAATATATCAACCACAGCAATCACATTGATGAACATCAAGTTTTGGTGCAATCAGAATCTGTGATTTTGTGTCTGAAAACTTGTTTTCACTTGTACACTCAATAAAACATAAATATAATAAACCACTTTTTTAAAACTTTTGTTCTTACTCTTAATTGTTATTTTTAAGTTATTAATGCATAATTTTTGTATTATGACTGCATATATTACATAGAAAATGTAAGCAATGAAAATAATTCTTTTAAAAGAGGCTGCTGCAAGAAAATGGTCGGGAATGCCTGCAGTTTTGAGAGGCGGATTTCACATTTAATGATGCATTTTAAAAGTGATTAAATGTATAAAATCTTACATAATACTGCAAGTCTTGAACAAAAGAAGGAACATAAGAAAATACTGGTAGTAAGTGATTTTTTCCCAACACCAGTTGCTGCAGTCAGCTTTTAGATTCTGAAGACATGTTGCTCGCATTAGTGATTTTCAGAACAGAGGTTAGATATGTAGCTGTTATTTTGGTGGCTTGTTCCTTCTCATTGGAGACGGATAAAACCACTCTTGTATGGGATCGGATCAGATAATAAGCTTTTTGTCATGTCTCACTGATCACTAACAACCTTCATAACCCTTTGCGGCTCAGTGTTCCACTACATGGAACACCCAAATTGAATCACTTCTGAAACCTTTAAATTCAACTGTAAATAGATAAAAATGCCTTTATAATATACTTGGAACTTTTCTTTTTAACCCTTTGAAGGGCACCGGTATATAATATATACCGGTTGTTTGTCAATTTTTTAACCTCGGAAAAAAATTATAATTTCTCTACACCAAAAGCTATAATCGTAAGTTTCCAGTGTTTCCTTTCGATTCTAAATGGCAGCACTACCCTATGAATGCTCAATATTTTGAAGTTATGAAATTAATATACCTTGTTCCAAGGTATCATGTTTGAAGATTAATAAATTCTATTGGAGGGAAAGAAAAAATTCAAAATCTGTAAATATATGATGTACACATGCTGAACCTTTTATATTTACTGCACTTCAATCAAAACTGATAATTAAAAGAAGATTATGTATACATTTTTAATACCGGTATATAATATATAACGGCGCCCCTACTGAGGGTACCTTGCCAATAGATGGCAGCACCAGGCTTCTTCTCTACTTTAAGAGATGACAGCATTTCTTTACATTATAACAGTTCATGATGTAACAATTTGTTTATGATTAATTTACAAGTTGTTTAGGATTCAGTATTATGTTCATGAAATAATGGGGAGTTTACTGACCTTGCACTAGGACTGAATACAAGTATATTTGTTTCTTTTTATTCTTTTTTTACTCTGTGCAAGTTTCATTCGTATCTATTTAGCTAAAATTTTAACTTCAGCACTTTACTCTTTCCCAAGAGATGGACTCATCGATTTCCAAATTGCTATCTGGGGTCAAAATTTTACACAATTGTAGGCGTTAAATGTGGCATGTTAGTCCCCAAAAGACACCCTTTGCTTCCTGTTTTCCAAAATCCTAGAATCCAACAAAAATGAAAGGAGGTGATTGACAACTGATTTGTCATTCGGGAGTCAAGCCTTCTTCCCTTTGTGTGGTGTGATAAGATCACACAAAGAGAAAGCTCACTTAAAAATACGGGAAGTGGAAGTGGACTGAAGGTTTATCTCTTAGTGTAATCACAAAAACTGCTGATTTGAATGCATGCTTTTATTTATTTCAGATGAAAGACTAGGGAACGCAAGAGAAATTTAGGGTTAGGTTGTTTTTGAAATAAATTTCACAGTTTGTGAAATGAGGGAAAATATTTCTAAAGCCCGTTTTAGATGCAAACTAGAATTTATTCAAAAGTTGAAAAGGAGCCCCTAGGAGGCCAAAGGAGTTGAAAATCGAAAAATAAGTGTATAAAATAAAGTCAGGTGTATAAAATAATAAAGTTATTTAATGATGTTTCTTCCTGAACAAAAAGATATATTACAACCTATATTTACAAAAAATAAAAAAGGGGCCCTTACGGTCCTCGATAATCTAAAGTGTGTGTGCGGGGGGGATTCTTTGTAACATAGTATGAACCATGGTTTTTTACATATTATCTAAAATATAAAATATGACTTCAAAAATTCAACATACTTTCTCGTCTGAGTCCTAGAGTTTCATTTTTTATTTTTTAAATTTTTTGACTGTTATATCTCCTTGTAATATTATACTAATTCAGTTACAGCATGATATGATTTACACATGCATTGTCATATTTACTAATTTTTTTATAAAATAATAATATTGAATTTAAATCAAGTTCAAAAGCTTTTTACCCATATTTACATAAGTATATTCAGCTGGGTTGCATCATCAAAGTGCAAAAAACATAAATTTTATTTTTAAATTTTAAATCTCTACTGAAATTTTAAAAGATTTTTGTCTTCAGACTTGCATAACTATATTCAAGCCCCCATCTCTACAGATGCACATCAAAAGTACGCAAAATTAATTTGAAAATCAAAAATTAACAATTGGCACCTACCTGGAAAAAAATTGTCTTAGAGGGGCGCCGGTATAATATATATACCGACTCTCAAAATTTAGGATTTCGCTGTAGATTTTTTTTTAAGTCTCAATTTTGTGTCTTTACGGTCCATAAGTTATAGTTCATGCAAAATTTTACCACAATTTAAATTATTTTATATACTGCCCCTCAAAGGGTTAAACAGTAGATAGCAGCATATCACAAGGAGACACACAGTTTTCATTTATTATGTGTTATTAAAATCCACTTTTTTTCAAGTAATTTTCCCTATTTTTTTAATGATATAAAAAATTTTATTTGGAAAAAAAAATAGGCATAATTTTGCTGGCTGTAGTCCAAATTATCTGTTCTATACTTTTTTTTAATCTTTCAGACAAAAAAAAAAAAAAAAAAAAAAAAAAAAAAAAATACCCAGAATTATTGAATAAACCCAGGTGTTCCATTAGCCCGAACACTGCGCCTTTAGCGATCTCATGCTGTTACGAATCAAAACATCTCTGCTTAGGAGAGAACATCCGTTGTTTACGTTTTCTGTTTCTGTTGCTTTGGGGGGGGGGTAATCAATTCAAACAAAGCAGTATTGAGGGGTGAGGTGTGTTTTGTGTTATGAAAGCCCTAATATTGGCATCTCGAAATTTTTTGGGACTAGTTTTTAGGCGGGAATTTTATTAGTAGCTTGACTCATCTTTACTTAGACCTGCGCAATTTTTTTGCTGTCAATTTTTAGTCTCATTCTCGTTTATTTTCAATAACTGTGTATATATTTTTCGTGTATGTATATATCATAGGCTTATTTTTCTTTATTGTTAATATTAATTGTAGTTAATTTATTTTATTATTAATTTTTTATTATTCCATAAAATGGCGGAGAGAGTCTAACTCTTTCCAAAAATTTGTATATATTTTTGTATATAGGACTTGTGTATATAGATATTTATCTCATTTATCCGTATATATTCAAGAATATTGTGTATATCCAGGAAACCATGTATACAGCTATAATACAGAGTTTTTTCATTCTTATACAATTGCTTCTACTCATTTTCGTGCTTCACTGCAATGCTCGCTTAGTCGCACTTTTAAAAGCTCTGGCGGCGCAGTGTTCCACCTCATGGAACACCTGCAGAATTAAAACGGTAAGTGCATCTTTTACAAAATTTTCCCTGTATATTCCTTTAGAACTAAATAGACTGCATACAACTTTTTTTGTTGAAATTCCGACGTTAACGTATAGTGCCCCGCAAAGGGTTAAAAAAGATCTGGAAAGATGGCTGAATCAAGAGCAGTTAAAAGGAATGGAACAAAGAGTGGAAAGAATAGACTTTATTATAGTATTAAAACATGATAAAATATTTTTTTATTTTCAAATGTTCACATCAAAGAGAAGTTTTCACTTTTTTTTTTTTTTTTACCTGCAAATGTCCTATTTAAACAATCATACAGGCAACAATAATAAATATCAGATGCATCATTCAACATAAAGAGTTATATCCACATTAGTAACACCCATGCTAACTTGCAGGAAAATAGGTCCATACTGCTTATCTGGAGTGAGGCGAGTTTGACACTTCACCTATCACTGCGAGAAATGAAATGTCAGAAGTCAGGCTCAAATTATTCCCCTACCAGACAAGAGGGAAAACAGATAGCATCATCTCTTGGATCTGGCTACTTCTCTGATCTTAAAAAAGCAAGATCTTCTTAATTCAGTACAGTATAATAATTGATACAAAAATACTGCTTTAATAAACATTTTGATTTTTATTCCAAGAGTTTTTTCCCCTTTTTTTACAATAGTATTTGGAAACAATAAAAATTTTTTTTACAAAGAAATACAAGTATAATTTAAATATCACAGACTTCTCATATCACAGTTCTAGTTAAAATAATACTGCATATGATGAATTGTTAATATATATGATATAGTTAAAATGAACGGTGTATAATTGATTTACTTAATGAATAATAATGTTCATGATGAGAGAAAATGAAAGACAAAATACATTCTTCCTTGACATACAATACTTGCATTCTTTGATAACTGAAAGGAAGGGGGATGAATAATTATGAGAAAAATAAACAAATAAACCAGAAAAAATTTAAATTGTAATACAGTGAGATCATAGGAATAATATTGAATGTACTCAAATTATCTCATTGTTTGGACATGGTGAATAAAATTAAGTTTAAAAATTGTTTTACTGAGTTAAAATGCACTAAAAATGATAACTTACAAAATACAACTGTGTAATATCTACAACTGAGAAAACTAATGAAAATAATGGGTAATACATACTCTCATAAATTGACAAGAAAACACAGCATTACACAATAAGAATTCCAGAAGCAAGACTAAAAACATCTAGTGCAGTGGTTCTCAACTGGTGGTACGCAAAGAAACAAAGTAATTTTATCTATTAAATTCAAAAACTAAATGTCCCAACATCCTGTTTTAAGTTTTTTCTCTAATACTTGTAAATTTATGTGATCTGAGTCTTGTCAAGGTCAATAGCCACTCATACACTTTAGCAAAATATCTGTTTTAATTTTCACATTCTTTTAGCCATAGACATACTAAAGTTTGTCATAAATGATGTTTTTAAAAAAGATTAATAGAAACAGACGTTATATTTAATACTTAATAAAAAGTTCCTATAAAAAGACAATAGTAATTATTAATTATTTCATTTAAATTTGATTGATTTATTAGGCTATCTACACTTTATGTTGCCACCATTTCCCAGCTCATATTGCTCTACTTTCAATTAGAATGCTTTACTTTTTTTTTGCTCTCTCTAACAGCAGGTATTTTTTCTTGTTGTTGCTTTGTATTCCTTATTTTTCTACGTGATTTGAGAATATCATTTGAAGAACTCTCCCTATACTGTGCATTTAAATATTTGTGAAAAAACAGATAAAACAAACCTAGATTTTCCAAATGGAAAAATGGCTAGGACTGACTAAGTGGAAAAGGATGATTCACACTTGATGAATCGAGGACAATCTACTAGCACTAATAATATTTAACAGAAAAATTGTTTATAGAAAATATAATGAAAGCTATTTATGATTTGGGTTTACTTGGAATAGAGATGAAATGGATCCTCAATCTTAATGTGTTATTTTGGGTGAACTATTATCCAATCAATGCATCAAAACATAATTTCTTAAAAGAAACATTGAATCTAAGCATGCCAATTTAAGGGATAAGTCTGAAGAATATTTTAAGAGGAAATTATCGGAGTTCAAAAATAGTAAATAAATAATGGAAAATTTTGTTACTTCGTGAGAAAAAGCCTTGGAAGCTAGATACCCTAAGCCTAAGAATTGTCAAGACTGGGCGGGCTCACACTATTGGAGAAAACCTTATATTACCAGCAGTTTAAGATATCGTTTTAATATTATTCAACGAAAAAGCGACTAATGAACTTAATAGTATTTCATTATCAAATGATACAGTAAGTTGACGAATTCATGAAATGGAAAATTCCATAAAAGAAGCACTTATTCACAAAATACAACAGAGTGAGTATATCACATTGCATTTGAATGACAGCCCTGATATAACGAACCTTGTTCAATTATTAGTGCATATACTTTTTGAAGGAGATAAACAAATTGCTGAAGAGTATTTATTTTGTGAAACTCTTCATGATAGACCAGCTGCAAATGAAATTTTCAAAGTAATTGACAATTTTATGTCTGAGAATGATTTTCCTTGGAATAAATGCATTGCCGTATGCAATGATGAAGCTCAGCTTTAACAGAAATACATTCCAATGTGATTTTTCAGATAAAGAAATTCACACCTGGAAGTAAATTTACGCACTGCTCCATTCATCGTGAACCTTAGTAACCAAAACAATCCCTGAAAGCCTGAAAATCGTTTTGAACCAAGCTGTGAAAATTATTAATTTTATTAAAAGCCGAGCTTTACATTTAAGAATATTTATGATTTTATGACAAGAGATGGGCAGTGAACATGAAATGCTTTTATTATATTCTGAAGTAAGGTGGTTATCAAGGGGCAAAGTTTTAAATCGTCTTTTCGAACTTCAACAAGAAATTCAAATTTTCCTCTGTAATTCAAAATGCAAATTGCAAAAATATTTATTTATCGAATTATGGTTGGTGCATTTAACACATTTAGCTGAGATTTTTGGACAGTTAAATGAATTAAATTTAGGATTAAAAGGACAAAGTGTTAATTTATTTACCCTTAGAGATAAAATAAATGCATTGATAAAAAAAACTCAAGAATTGGAAAATAATTTATTAATTAAAGATAATAAATTATTAATTAAAGAATGGAAAATAATATTTTAAGCTTTTTAGCATTTTTATGAAAGTTTTTTAACTGAAAATAATTTGAAAATAAAGGAAAAATTAGCATCCAATATTAAAAAATCATTGTTTTTCTTTGATAAACAATTTCAACATGTATTTTTCCGATGATTATGAAAAAGGAAATTGGATTAGAAATCCATTTCATTCAAATGTACCTGAAATTTAACTCAAGAAGAAAAGGAACAATTGATAGAAATTTCCAAAAGTAACACACTTATTAACTTTTGTCTGAATGGGGGAAAAAATTTAAAGGCATTTCAAATAAGGCTATTAATTTTTATTACCTTTTTGCACAATCCATTTGTGTGAACAAGGATTTTCTTGCATGTTATAATTGAAAAATAAATACAGAACAAAATTAAAAGGAGATCCTAATTTATGTTTAAATTTACGTTTAAGTGAAATAAGACCAGACATAGAGAAATTGATCTCTCTTAAACAGCCCAAATTTCACACTAAATTTTAGAATTAAAGTATTATAACTTAAATTTTGATAAATTAGACATGGTAACCAAATTTTTAATCTAATAATTTTTTATGTGCGCATATTTAATTCAAATAGGCCCAATAGGTTGTTGCAAATGGCAAAATATATTTTTTAATACTTTTATTAGAAAACTTGAAAAATAATCATTGTAAAATGTAGTGGTAGGTAACTAAAGATTTTCAGTTTTTGTTCAGGTGGTACACGTTGGTCAAAAGGTTGAGAGCCGCTGATCTAGTGGATAATCTCCCTAATAGAATGGCTATTATCATGACAGCTAAAAGAGGTCCTACTCTACATTTTTAATATACAGGCCTGTATATGAGTCATCATTGCAAGTGTTCAGATACTTTTGGTCATGAAGCATAATATGCATTTTAAAGAAAAGTAAATGTATTAAAAAACGTGAAAACAAAACTAATCTCTATACTGCAGTGGATTCTACTTATATTAAATAAGCAGAACTAGAAGTAATCTGAATATGTGTGAATGTAGGAAATATTGATAAATGAAATTAAATGCCAAAGGTATTTGATTGAAATGCATCAAAATGCTTAAAAGAATTCAATTCCTATGTTTAACTTCAGCATATCAATATATTTTTGAAGCAAATCTGGCTTACAATATAAAACAAGGACAAAGAACTATCGCATATTTTAAGTTGCTAAAGTTAATAAACTTCGTGGTCATTAATTTCATTTTAGTATTTATGATTACAAACATTCAAATAGTACTACTAAGAACAAAAGTTACATGGCACATGGGGAACATGAATATATATTTGAAAAGCAAGGAAATTAAACTGTAAATACTCTTACAAATTATCAAAATTAAATACCTTGAAAAAAAATTCTTTTTTCCTACTTAAAAATGTTTATACACTTCTTTAATTCCTTTTATGTGCAGTAGAGCTTTCTCATGGCACTGTTGAAGTTCCTCAAATTTTTCTATGGATTTTAATTTTCCAGTAGAATCATTAATATTTTCACCCATCTTTGGCCTGTAATTTAGATATAAAAAAACAAAATGTAGCATTAAATACACTATACAAATACGATAATTTAAAAGCATTTTCTAATTGCAGTCAATACAAAATCTGATGTGTGGTCAGTAGAATACCCCACCAATTTCATGTTTTAAATAGCAACAAGTGTTAAGAAGATAAAAAATATTTTAAAAAATGATTTCTAAAAATATAGTACTGACAATCAGTGATGATTTGAAATTCCCAGGTTTCCAGAATGAATTAAAATTTCATAATAAAAAGAATGATAAATTAATAAAAAATATGCAAGGAGAAGTCATTCTTTCTTACAGTGGTGTAAGAAAGAATGGTTGCTCCTTACATAAATTTAATGCACATTTATCCTTTGAAATAATATGCATTAAAGGCACAATTAGGGCAAAAAGAAATTTTGATCAAATGCATTATAGAGGTGAAACTTTAGAGACAAGTGTGTCACAGATCTAAAGATATATAAATTGATACATAAGGCGTTTAGATTATTAATGCCAATTTATAAACAAATAATGTTGATTGTGTATTAAACTAATTATTAAGATACATAATTTCACAAACCTGACAGTGAAAACTTATTACAGTGATTCAATATTTTCCCACAAAAATCTGTTAAGAGTTCCATGTAAACCTCCAGTTAATCATGTATAATCAAATTTAATACTTTGTTCTCAATCAGTCTGTTATGTATTTCAATACCAAGCACCAGAAGTTTTGGATTATCATATAATATAAACCGGATAACAATTTGTAAAACAGTTTCTGATGAGTTCGATTTTTTAACAGCTCTAGAATTAAATAGGCATGCTGATTTCAAAACTGTAGTTAGTTTTCTTCCACCACATCAAGTTTTTTATCCACACCTCATGTGAATGCGATAACTTTCCACCTGAGATACTGTAGTGAGTTGTTATGTGTCGCTCCGATATAGTGAAAAGCATTCTGACGTGGAATTCGAGTTCTTGTTTGCATGCATGGTTAGTGCTTAGTTTTCATTTATATATGAACTGAAACCTTTCCCTCATGTCTGCTTCTGCTAGTTCACATCTTAACTGTTAAACAGCCCCCCTCCCCGATTTGTTTTGTTATACATGTACTGTTTTACCGTTTCCAGTCATACAACAGCTTATTTTAAAGTGAAAATTGGTTATCAAGATAAATAATGGGCCCCTCACAAAGTGTGCAAACAGTGTGTTGAGAGTTTACGGATGTGGATGATTGGAACATGTTTTAAATTTCCATTTGATATACCTATGATTTGGCAAATGCCAAAGATAACTCAAGTGATTGTAGCTTTTGTATAGCGAAAATGTCAGGATATAACAAGGAAAGTGCTAGTTTTCAAAGAATTGCTGCAAACGACAAAGATCTTAAAACTGAAGATGATTCTGTTCGTAAGGGATTTGACCAGCATGAGTTGAATGATTTAGCATAAAATTTCAAACTATTCAAAAGAGCTTCAGAGCTATTAGCATCAAGACTGCAAGAGAAAAACTTGCTTGAAAAAGGAACTAAGATAACCTACTTTCAACTAACAGAAAGTGTGTTTCTGCAATATTTTCAAAGTGATAAGAGATTTGTGTATTGCCATAACATATATGGTTTAATGGAAGAGCTGAGAATTTCAAACTATAATGCAGCACAATGGCAACTGTTCATCAATAGTTCAAAGTGCAGCTTGAATAGTGTTCTCCGACACAACAAAAATTTATCTAGTACAGTCCCAATACGCCATGCAGTTTGTTTGTGTGAAGAATATGAAGACAAAAGAGTTGCTAATTTGTTACAATATCACATGCCCCAATGGATCAATTGTGTTGACCTTAAAATGATCTGCTTCCTCCTTTGCTAGGACAGCAGAGTTCATGAGAAACATTGGGTGCAGTCAAAGTGACCACTAAGTTTTGACCTGAAACCTGGTGATCCAGACATTCTACATCAGAACTTAATTCTAACCTTCTAACTGGGGCATCACACTGTATCATAGCAGGAGACTTTAACGCCACCAGTCAACTATGGAGTGCTGACTCGGAGAAGCGAAAAGGAATTGCGATACTAGAATTCTTGGACAATAAGCATTTCATTGTCATCAACGTTCAGGACTCACTGCCTACCTTTGAAACATCTAGAGCTCGAGGGTGGCCAGATCTGACAATATCAAATCCCAATACAACTTCGTACATACAAGATTGGACAGTGAGTGAACTGCCGTCACTCAGTGATCACAAAATTATTACTTACAGGCTGGATACTCCTATAGACTACATAATAAAGAAAAGATTCAAAACGGCATTTGGAGGACATTCAGTTTTACGGGAACACATTCGAGCGCATGTAGAGAAATTTATCAAAGATTTCAACAACTGCCAGGACAGAAACTCCTTAGATAATCTCTACGACTTACTAGTTACAAAAATAGTGCAAGCTGCCCACAAAGCATATCGTTTGAAATCTGTAAAGGCAAAACACTCGATATCCTGGTAGTCACCAGAGCTTAACACAGAGAGGAAGCAGAGTTCGGGCACTTCGCAGAAAAGCACAATCCATGGTAGATCCATATCTACGGACAAACTCAGAATGATAACATACAACAAAGCCTGAGCTTTATATAAAAGAAGAATTAAAGAGGCCAAGTTAATTTCATTGGAGAACCTACTGTAGTTAATGTCACTAAAAGCCTTTGGACCTACTCAAAAGATAACATATAACAAGGTGTTTCGTCCTACGACCCTTTCGCCTATGGTGAATAGCACTGCCTTCATCCAACATCTGAAGTAATCACTGAGATCATTAAATGCAGTTTTTCCTGATGATGATGAAGAGGATATTCTTAGAGGAGCAAGAGGAAGCGAGAAAAACTTACAGTATGAAATTTCGGCAAGTTACCAGAAGAGACGAACTCCCTCCTACACAAATGGAAGTGGACAACATCATACGTACTCTGGCACCCAAAAAAGCTCCTGGTCCGGATGGAATTGATAATATCATCATTAGAGAGATACCCAAAACTATTCCTTGCAGTCATTTCAGCTTGCTGGAAACATCAGGACTTTCCTAAAAATATGAAGTTGGCAGAAGTGGTGTTATTCCTAAAATCAGGCAAAACTCCGGCAGAACCTTCATCTTACAGGCCAGTCTGTCTACTGCCAGCGCTCGGTAAGGTACTAGAAAGAGTAATTCTTTACAGACTGGACTTCTTCCTGCAAAGGAACAACGCCCTGCATCCCAACCAATATGGATTCCGAATGGGCAACTCAACTGAACATGCCATAAAAGACATAATGGCCACTATCAAACAGAACAAGGATAACAATTTGCACTCACTGGCAATAGCCATTGACATCAAGGAAGCCTTTGACTCCCTTTGGTGGCCAGACGTAATAAATTTGCTGCACAACATGGCCTGCCCAACAGCCATTATTACCATCCTTCGCTCGTACCTTCAAGATCGAAGTGTACAAGTAACATCAGACAGCAGCATTTATGTCAAAAATGTCTTTAGAGGGTGCCCACAGGGGTTATGCCTTAGACCAACACTGTGGAATATAGTGGCAAACTCGGCATTTCGTCAGTTTTAGAGCGTAGAATATGCTCGAATCATTGCCTATGCGGACGATTTTATGCTAGTTGTGGCAGGAAGGAGTAACCTCAAAATGAGATCTCAATACTGTCTTGATCTGTTCTCCCAATGGGCCAGAGCACATAAGCTTCAGATTTCAGCAAAGAAAACTAAAGCTTTACTCATAGGGCGCAGCAGGCAGCTAAGATGCAACAGAAGCATTAAACTCCATGGGATACTGGTAAAATGTTTCCCCCAATTGAAATATCTTGGGCTATTACTCGACAACAGACTTTTTTTGGATGCCACATGTCAGGAAACTGGACTCGAATTAGCATCCTAAGCAACAACATGAGACGCATGACTTCACATAAATGGGATATCTCATCTAAGCTACTAAAAATTTGGCATAGAACCATTACAGAAAGAGCAATAACTTATGGAGCAGCAATCTGGGATGGTGAACTTACCTCTCATATGAAAAGATCCCTGCTCTCTATTCAGAGACAGCAGCTACTTCAAGTATGCAGGGCCTACCGTACCACGTCAACACTAGCCCTACAACAACTAGCAGGAATTCCTCCCCTAGATTTGATAGTAGAAAGGGAGGCAGCTATCGTAAGGGTTACCAGGCTGGGTCAAACTTCAACACTCTGGGGTCATAGTTATCACCACTCGGACTACGAGGAGCAAAACAACTGCAATAACTTTCATCCAGCAGCTTTTAATCTCTCCGACGGTATCAGTATAAACGACCAACCAATTCAGAGGTACAGTAATAACCTTTTCACAGATGGCTCCAAAACTGAGAACGGCACGGGCAGCGCCTTCTGTAGACTAGAAAATGGAGTTGTAACATTCGAGTGGAAAAGGAAATTAGGCTTGAACAACTCGGTATACCAAGCAGAGCTTCTAGCTATCAGTGCTGCAATTAGATATGCGAACACATGTCAACAGGAGAAATTCTCCATACTCAGTGATTCGGCATCAAGTCTGGCGGCTATCGCAAGTCAAAACAGCCGGAGTCCTTTGGTATACAGAATTCAGAAACAGCTTCTGACAATGCCTATTTCGCAAAGACCCACTTTAAAATGGGTTCCCGCTCACACAGGGATTCAAGGCAATGAAGCCGCTGACCTACTGGCCAAGCAGGCAGCCAACTGCACGGATATATTAGAAAGACCAACTAAACTTCCTTGGTCTCATATTAAGCGAACAACTTTGATAAGTCTGCTACAAAATTGGCAGAGTAGATGGACAGAAGCAGAGGTAGAGGTAGGACGAAGGACATTTCGCTTACTGCCAAAAGTTAACATGGAAATAAAGACCCACTGTGCTAGCCTAACACAGTTCTCGACAGGTCATGGATCATTCCCAGTATACCTGAACAGATTCAGACTTAGGGATACTCCTTTCTGCGAATGCGGAGAGGAAGGCGACACGGACCATTATTACTTCCATTGTGTACATACAAGAACCTGGCACTTGAAGAAACCAGCAGACTGTGCCTGGGCAATGTGGACGACTAACACACTCAAAAACAGAATAGCCCTTGATAAAATAGAGAAAATCTCAAGACACTGCCTAAGCAGAAACAACCGTGGATAACATTATAATGTTTCAAATGTTCAGAACTTAAAGCAGATAACCAGAATAATGCTTAGTGCCTAGCAGTTATCAATATGCAAAAACTGTTATTAGTATATAACATTCAACCTTGTTACTCTGGAGTCTTCCCCGCCGTGATGGTATATAATTCCGTTTGGTTCATGTCCGTGGTCAGAAGCCATCATAGCAGTGCACTCACTCACTCACTCACTAGGTCTTATGAAGCAATTTGTTAAAGCTCTGCAAACTGAAGGAGAGTGTTTCAAGTACCTCGTTTCAGCATTTTCTAGCCTGTCATTTGAAAAGATAAAGGCTGTGGTGTTTGATGTTGCACAGATTCAGCAGTTCCTTAAAGATGAACATTTCATCAGAACAATGACAGAACTTCTAAAAAGTGCTTGGTCAGCATTCAAAAACTTTCTTGGAAATATAAAATTGCTTAATTTAATTTTTAAATCACTTAAACAAAAACATTCCAACTTTTTCTTATTTGCCACCCTAACTTTGCATCCTTTGTTTCCTTTTAATTATGTTTTCCTGTGTTTTTACATTTTACTTTATAAAAAAATTATACATTAAAAATATAAATATTGATTTAAAAAATATATTACATAATTTTCCATGCATTTCCCCTTATATTTATTTTATATGGTTTCTTCCTTACTACATCATACAGCTTTATATCAATAAACAATTAACTATCAGTTTCCTAAATATTTTTTTTTAAAAATTGAATAGTACTTTGGTTATGCTTATCAACTGCCAGTGAATATTGACTCTTGATCATAACTGACACCCTTTAAAATTTCATCAAACCTGTTGGAAATTACTGCTCTAGATCCTGATATTAAAAAGTTACATTAAGATGTTTATCAATATAAAAACTGATAATCAAATACAAATCTAAGACAAAAAAATTTCATACCTCTCAGAATCATCAGCTGATTTTTTCATTTCTTTCACTTCCTTTACACAAAATGGTGCAGTTTCAGGTTTCATATATTGGCTGTTATGCTCAGCAACAGGCAGATTAGCATATCCTGGTATGTTAGCTCCATATGCACTTGGATCAGACAAAGGAAATATAGGAAAATGATTGACTAATCTTGTGCCATTTGAGAGTAGGTTCATTTGAACGTTTGGACTTCCAGTATTCACATTAGAAGGCACGTTAAAAAATGGATTGATAATTTCATTTTGAAAATGTTGCTGATTCAACTGAGGATTCTGTGCATAGCAAATAGCTAAGCTCTGCAATAAATTAAGAATATCACTTCCAGCTAGGGATGTTGCTCCAGCAACATGAGGAGTTATGTTAGGAACATTCAGGGTACTACCAGTTTGAAATGAAGGTGTGTTATTTCCAACAGAAGCCTATAAAGGAGAGAAAAAGTTATCACAAATTTAATACATGCACTATATGCAGAGTCAATAATTATTCCATAATCTAGGTATAAAATATATTACATTAGAAATGTCTTTTAATACTGATATTAACGGTGTAAATGTTTCTGAAAAATATCAGTTACACAGATTAAACAATACTGTAAAATATAGTAATAAATACATTTTTAATGATACTTAAAAATCAATTATTAAGAACGGTACTGTTTTAAAGCAGCTGACAATGTTTACACTCATAAGAATGTACTGCTATAACTGAAACTATAAAAACAAAAATAACTAATAAATTTTCTTTTCCTTTATTTATCAGCCACAATATATGATACTAGAAAACCTATTTTAAGGACACTGATGCTGCAAATATTGGAGAAATTATACATTAAGTACATTATTAAGATTTAAAAATAACTAGAATTATTTAATTATTTGCAAGGTTTTTATTTCTGCCATATATAAGTAACATACCTTAACTGAAAGATTATTAGTTAGTGAATATGGCAAGGCACAACAAACTATCTTCTAGAAAAGGAGATCTTGTGGAGAACTTTTAAAGGAAAACTGCCATTCGTGACAATTAATAAAAAAACAAAACACCTGATCACATTTGGGTATCTGCAGTTTAACCCTTGGTCCTGTAAAGTCTATAAGAAGGGCATATTAAAAGGGAAAAAAATAGCTTTTAAGGTAATATTTATTAAAAGTACTGAATTCAAGACGAGTTGATGATGCCTGATTGCTGAACACTGTAGAGACTACACGAACACACTTAACATCATAATATCCAAAGCATTTTTTTCTCTATCATTTCAAGAACATACTGTCTTTAATCTGTCAATAACATCATTGCATGTACCGACATTAAACAAAGTCACTATCAAGGAGCTGTAGCAGAAAAATATAACAGCATGAGAAAGGTGTCTTCAATGAATTTCCATAAATCAATAACATCCTGAGAGCCAAATTCATTTCTGTTGAAGTTAGTGATGTAATGTATGCATATAAGAATTCCTACCTACCGTCTGAACATGATTCATTCATATTACAATACGTAGCGCTTAGTGTCATCACATTTGTCATGAATATTTTATTGATTCAATAGCATGTATTTATACTTTAATATAAATAACGAGAAACTACATAAGTATTTCATGATTTTAATAGGGAATGCAAAAGTTGTTTTTGACTATTCAAAATGTTCTGGAAACTTTGCAAACGTGCCATGACTAGAATATTCAAAAGGCATCCTCCTGAAAGAGAAATTGCCATCTAATGACATAAAAAAAAAAAAAAAAAAAAAAATTTTTTTTTAGTAAGATTTAAGAGGAAAAAAATTGAAGATTCCCCCCTCCGTGTAAAAGAGGGACAGGTCTGATCTCCACCATTATTGAAATCCAAGTCACACCTTTTATATTTATTTGATCCAGCTTAAGTGGTTACTAACTGAGCTGACCTTTTACGAATAAACTGAGAAAGATGATTCTAATCTGGTAGCATGATAGTTTCATTTCAGACACCTTGTACTTAATGATAACATTATTTTTTAACAAATTTCACAACACAGTGTTCTAAAGGAAGGCTCTTTCTTTCAAATGCTAAAAATCATTTGACAAAATATGGTTAAACATGCCAACTGTTAGCGCAGATGACATTCATGGTGGTGAGAAACTTTCATTAAAACCTAATATTTTAAACACAAAGGAATACAAAATATACAAATATGAAAACAAACTTGTAAGTGGATTAATGAGTAAGTTATATGGATTATCTCAAAGAATACTGTACTTGATAGGAAGACAAATATATCAAAATATTTATTTAAATTAACTGCTTTCCTCATGCTTATTAAAGGACAACAGATGTTTTCTATTGATGGCACTAAGAAATCCTCCTACAAGACTGCTGTCATATTGACAAGTGAAAGCAGCAAAGGAATTTCACAACAAACAAATTTAATAAAATCTCAACAATCATTCTCTGAAGAGTTGATCTGCACAACTAATATTTAAAACAAACTATTTTCTTGGATAAGATAAAAAAAACAAACTTTTCTAGAAAGATATTATTCCATGCTTATAAGAGATCTCTTATAGACATGAAATAATCTTTTTCTGAAACAATTCATGAAATTTCTTAAATTTGATACACTCACCTGGCCAGCTTCAAAAGAGTACATATGAGCCAATTGACTCATTGCAAACCCTTCAACAACTAAGATATCATTAATATTGATTTCCTTTCCTCCATTGGTATCCCACAATACCATTGAAAGAATTCCATCAGCCTATATAAAGAGGAGGATAAAGTTACTGAAGAGTACCAAAATATTTTAATGAATAAAAAACAACAGAAGATACACATATACTGTATTTACTCACATATTTCCTTCCTAGCCTTGCACGAGATTAAAAAAAAATATACATACTTTTCCCCTCCCTACCTTAATAACATATTTATAAAGGAAGCTCCCTTAAATTTTAAAATAGATTCCTCCCCATGATGATCATTTTTGTCTTAGCAATTGATTTGTTCAAGGATTTTGGGTTCATGGGCTCTGATTTATGATGCAAATGTAATGAACAGCTTCAAGAAAATGGAGATATCTAATTACTCTTTCTTGATGGTTCTGATCATCACTGCATGTGGGAAGAAAAACTTTATGGTGACAACAGCGACTATATTGACAATTTGCATGCTCTAACAGATGAATGACACAAACAGCAGCTCCAGTAGCACTAAATAATATGAGGCCTAGCAGTGGAAACAAAAAGAGTGGGTGATATTTAATATTCAGAGAAGTGGAACTGAAGACATTTCATTAGATACTCTAATATTACTATGTATTTTTTATTGAAATTGTAAGTTTCTTTTAAATAAATAATAATGTGATAGAACTTATAGTTTGTCCATAAATACTTTTAATTTATTATGCACTTAGTGTAATTTCATCCTCAGAAATTAAATTATTCCCATAATTCACTCTCTATTTTCATATAAAGAGGAAAAACAAATGGAAGGAATATGTGAGTAAATATAGGTATGTATATATGTGAGATAAAACATATGTGAATCAAAATTATAATTTAAACTAACGATAACTCTTTAATTCTCTTTCTCGATTCTAAAAATCATAATAACTTCTCTCAATTGTGTCATTTCTAGATATTTCCTTTTTGCATGGCATGTGCAGCGCTGATGACGTAATAATTGTGAACTGAAACTTTTAACTCAAACCTTTCTCTTCGTGTGCTTCCATCTTGCATAATTACACACTTCAGCTTCCCTCTCTACGCTGCTAGGATGCAACTTTGCTGTCTTGCTTGATATTGCAATACTATAAAAAATGTAAATGTTCAGTACAAAGGCACGACTAATGCCAAGCGAACTGTGGCCAGATATGTCAATTGAAAATAAAAATGGAATTAAAAATGCCTCGACTGCCAAGTTTTTTAGATACTACGAAGTCAACACATTAGCTTACGATGCAATCAGAATTCTTCCTCTTCAATATGGATCTAAGTATGCATCAACACTGCTTTCCTCTTTTCCTTTGCATTTATTATATATATACTATTATAAACACACAGTACATAATATATATATAATATGAGAGAGAGAGAGAACAGAGACAAAAAAAAAAAAAAAAAAAAAAAAAGCAAGAAATTTAGAACCAATTCCAAAGATCCAAAAGAAGTGAAATTCAATACCAGTAAATTTCAAAATTCCCTATAAATATGTATAATAACCCAAAGTCAAAAAAATTAAAGAAATATGAAATACAAAAACCCCAGAAAATACAAAAGCCACAAAAATAAATACATAGGAAGAGGAATGCAATCAAATCTGATATAACGTTATCAAGAGGAGGAATCAGCCAAACTGAATTCCCTTTGAAAACCTTGTGTGTCTATTATACAAATTAGCTGATGAACCATTCAATTTTTTTTTAATTATAACAGTTCCAGAAATTTTGATTCCTCCCAATGCAGTGTCAGAATTTGCTTTTAGAAATTAGTATTTATTAATTATTTTTTCTTTTAAGAAAACCAAAAACATCCACTATTAAATAATAATGTCAATAAACAAAAGAAATGAATTATTAGACACTTTTACTCAATTAAATTGAATTAATGTAGTAACAGAGAACATATTCTTTGAGGTTTTCCCACATTCTTTAAAATTTTGGTTAATTTTACATATTTATACGGAATTTTGAAATTTGAATTTCATTTCTTTTCGGCCTTTGTGGAATTGGTTCTAAATTTCTTACTTTTTGTCAATACTGATTAATTTTCAGCAGCATATCACATGGAAAAAACTTCGGATAATTTTGCTTTTAAATAAATATTTGTCACACTGTAATACAAGTAAGCAGCTATTAGTACCTTTACTACTCTAATAGTTCAACAAAACCTGAGGGCTCAGAACTAACCAGCACAAAGACAAAGGTTTAAAGTTTTCCTCTATAAAACTTTACTCTAATTTAGGCTAGCACACTCATTACTTTTACTTTTTGCTCATAACAAGAATACTGAAATTATGGAATGTTAGAGTTTCAACTGATTATCTTGTAGACATAATGAAACTTCATTCAACCCTCTCGCTACTAAACAACAATATATTTTGAAAATATTTTAATTGCATTCCTCAAGAACAGAACTTGCTATCGTTTACATGGCAAACTAAAAATAATCTTAGCATCAGAATCAACAATCATAGATCACACATTAGGAAGTATGCAATCAACAAAAATAGTATTAATTTAACCACAAAGGAACTAGAACATTTTAATTTGTATGTAATAATATTGCTATCAGGATTTTAAATATTGTGCCTAATCTTAAAAATAAACTTTTTAAAGGATCTTCATATGTTTTCCAGTTCATAATGCTTTATCCATGTGGATTAAACTCTTCTAACAATACTAAATCTGATTTTTATGATACAGTTTATGAACAGTTCAGTCCTTTCAGCAAGGAAACACAAAGAGCTTCCAAAGGAAAAAGCAAAAAAGTGAAAACTTCCATAAATACTACTTCATAGCAATCCAAATTCCAGAATTTATTTATTAAGCCTAATTTTATGAAAAAATTTTCTTAATTACCTTTATTCACTCCCTCAGATCATAAAAAATCACATCACTTATCATACAAAATTTTATCAAATATAAGTGTATAGGAAATTGCCTCAGCAAGGATTTAGTACTTGATTTTGCCAAATTATAATTTAACTGTAATTCATCAAAATATAAAAGAATTTTCCGTACTATCGATTTTCTTCATAGAAGTTTTTTGATGATCTCTATCTATCTATATATTAAATAAAGCTCAACAAAAATTTAAAGCAACTGAGTAATTATATTACCAACCATCATGAAGATTTTTGTTTTGACATTACTAAGAGAGATTTCTACCATATGTGGATGAACAATATAGGTATATTATTACAGGAAATCTTGACATTATAGAGGATCAAGAAATTAAGCAGCTTATGAAAAAAGCTACAAAATTTAGACCAGTTAAATACATTTCTAAGTTCAATTACATAGAAAGCATTTCTGCTGATATTAATAAGCTCCTATTGAAAGCAAGTTCTCTACTATGTTTACCTTCTCATCTTTTTAAAGAACCGAAGAATGAAATAATAAATCAAAGCAAAAAGAAAATTTAAAACAATTTAAAGGTATTTAAAATTGGAAGAATTTACTTCAGAAGTTTTCTCATTTAAAAAACAATTTACTGTTACCAAAATTAATAAGCAATAACTTCAGTATTTTATGATAAAAGTTCTACATTTCTATTAATGAACAAGAACAGCACAATTCAACAACATATTGAATTTCCAAAAATAAAGAAAGGATAATTATCAACAAAATTTATGCTTTTCAATGGGGAAAAAAAGAGGGGCTTTCTCTTTTTATTGCAAACAGACTGCTAATCTATATCCGCACAAAGTGCCAAGTTCGCAAAAAAAGCTGAACAACGCGCGGGCACAAAATACAACAAAACTAATTGCACACGCGCAACCTAAAAAAACATTTTAAATATCAACCTTAATATAAAAATTATTAAAAATACATAATTAAACTAAATAATACTTGTACTTACTATTTTGCATTAATTTTATTCCACTTGTTAAAAAAAAAACCAATAAATCACCAAGAGATGTAATGAATTAATCTTCTTAATGCTGCTTTATGTAACTTAATTTAAGTTGATACATGAATACTGTACACAACATTACAACCACTAATATACATATGTTATCATCAGGCCCATTTCAGGCAGAACAAGTTTTAGAGATAAAAAAAATATACATATAACTGTACTATAGCTTTCAATTATCTTCAGTTAGCTCAATAAACAGTACTATATATAACACCAAAAAAGTAGTCATGTGAGATAAATAGTTACAAAATAAACTAGTTAAAGGAGGATACAAAAAATAATTATTTTCTCAGTCTCACTCGATCCTGATTTAAAATTTTTAGGAAAGCTTCTTTTTTGCTACTTTGCAGCCTACTTTTCTAATTTCCTTTTTTATTTTCCGCAATGTTTAATGCTTTTTTTTTTAGATTCTCGTCCCCTTTTTATCTCTAGCTCTTGTACAATTTATGAGCATTCCTTAAATTTTACTGTGTACTGGAGAATGCACGGGTCATCCCGTATGTCCGACAGATGGCGCCAGCACCGATCGCTGAAATTATTGAAGTCAGCTCTTGTTTGACGGTTGCTTGTTCTTCTTTGATTCGATATTGTACAGGGCAAGCTCATTTCTTTGTTCAACTCCTCGCCGACGCGAGCCTAATGGGGGGACGTAACAGCAATAATCTGACGTCATGTGATGCCACCTGTCCTGATTTCAGCGTTTTAAAAAACAGTAATTTCATTGAGCTGCGAGACGATTTTCTAGAGGTACTGTCCCAAATTAATTTTAAAATATATAAATCTGCTTTCTAATAATGTATATTAAAATATTTATAATATGTAATTTTGTCAGTTTTTTTTATTCTATATTGTAATATCGACGGCCGTAGCACTAAGAAGTAGAAGGATGAGATATTTTATTTCATGGGGACCAAAGGATCCAAATGGAGTTTGCTTTTGACGAAAGAATGGATACCAAAGTCAAAGAGAAGATTTATTAATGTGAAGCGGAAAAATCTGCAGCGAAATTTCTATGCAGTGTTTATGAAGATGATATGAAAAACGCTTGTTTGGATAGCCACAAAAGAACTGTGAAATGGAATGCGGTGCGAAAGTAAATTATGATGACAAAAAAAAA